ACCACATTTTTCCTCTACGACTTTTCTCGATTCCTCCGCTTTTCCACTCGGAAAAGTCCAAAAACATGGCAATTTCCCGGGGTCTTGAAAACTCAAGACCACATCTTTTATTTTTAGCTTAAGTTACTGGAAATTTTGTTGCAAATGCCGATTTCAATTTGTCCGACAGAAATTCCTCCGACATTGACGTGTCTACCGGTCGAAACATGCCAAAATAACAGGGTATTGAAAATCAATTACCACATAAGTAATTTTTAGTAAAATTAATTGTAAATAATTAATTCAGTCCAAAAGTATTGTTGTCTGACAAATTTCAAGCCGCGTTTTTTCACTCCGACAGCTGGAAATCGGAATTTTCACGGGATATGAAAAATCGATTACCACATGTCGGACAAAAATAACACACGATAGAAATGTGTTTTTATAAGCAAAAATTGTAATGTCCGACAAAAATATATCCGCAAATCGTCAGTCCGATAAAAAGAGATGAAACAAATTTTGTAAAAAATGTGCACATGTATTTATAATTTCTAATAAGGTAAGGTATTTTCATGTATTAAGCAAAATTCCATATAAATATACAATACAGGGTAATTTAGAAGGACTTCCCGTAAATACAGGGGGTGAGGACGACAAAAAATTCTTATTGTTTGTCATATGTACTATGTCTATCTCCTCTTCTCAAAGCTCAAGCTTACTTTGAGAAAAGTCACTTATTTTATAGTGTAATATTGTAGGAGTTTAATTAAAAGCCTTTTTCCTCGAAAATCGTCCACATTAGGAAGTTCTAACAAGAGTACATTATTTTTAGAAAATAAAATTGTACAATGGAAATTAGAGCCTGACTGGTAAAAAAACTAACCTTAAAAAAAATATAACTTAAATTGTAATAAGAATGTTGCATAACTAGCGCTTTCTATGAAATATACAATAAATAATTAGACTAGCGTATTTGGCACCCTTAAAAAACTCGGACTACCAAATTTCATAAAAATATTTCGCACTATTTGGAAATTTTCATAAAAATGTTATTTAAAAAATTTTATTTTGTCTCTCTGTATCTCGAAAACAAGAGGAGATAGACATAGATTTCATAAGACAAAAAAATCTCATTTTTTATCATACTATCACCCCCTTTATTTACGGGAGGTCTTTCTGAAACACCCTGTATATATTTTTCGTTTTATTCTTGTAATTGTAAACCTCTATATGTTCAATTTAGCCAAATAAATATCGAGAAAAGAATTAAACGATTTCAAAAAAGTATGTATGGTGTAAAAAAATTATGCACAAAAGTTTTGGGACTTTCTTTTAAAAAAATAGGAAAATTTTTGTAAAGAAAAATAACAAACGCGAAT